AGTAGACATGAAAGATGAACTGGAGGATTGACTTCTTTGTGGGAAGGCTTGCTGTTGTTCTATCAGCTGCAGCATACTACGAGCTTCTGAGAGTTCCTTCTTGGTTTGCTTGAGCTCTTTCTTTAGACGCAAATTTTCTTCTTGAAGCTTTAGGTATTCTGGATGATTTGATGGTAAAATTTGTTGATGACTCTAATGCTCATTCAGCTCATATTGTTCCCAAAATGGGCTTAATCACCTGATTTTCAAGTTGCATTGGCTCTACAAATTCAACAACTTCTGGCTGTGCTGTTGGTGGTTGTGCTTGTGGCTGTGTTTGATTTTGTGGCTGTGCTGGTGGATGTGGCTGCGTTTGATTTTGTGGCTGTGCTGGTGGATGTGGCTGTGTTTGATTTTGTGGCTGTGTTGCTTGATGTTGATGAGCCTTAAAATACAATATTTAGTTATTTAAAAAATCAATAATTACTTGAAAACTTACATGAAGTTCTGTGGGCTGTGCTGGTTGCACTGCCTGATCAACTGCATTACCTTGTTCAAAAACCACAACATCAGGCTCAATCTTTTTATAGTGTGTCTGTCTATGCTGTTGGCAACAGTACTTTTTCAAATTTCCTTGGGGATCTGTCTTTGTTATCATATTGAGATGCACAGGGAGATGGCCAATCCTCTCAAAAATCTGGGCTCCATAAGATTCTAGTTTCTTCATATAGTTTTGTTTCCAAGTTTCTCTCTCTTGAAAAGGTATGCAGGCCTTAGAGTAGTATCCAGGGCACTATCATTGATTGTCAAGACATCCATCCACTAACACACAACTACTCACATGGCGTATGATAAACCGAAGTCTTTTACCCCCCTCTAGAACTTCAAGTCCAACAGTTTCTCCTGAGGCATTCAGCAACCACTTGTCAAAGCCAGTGGCCATGTTGTTTCTGAGAGACAATTTTTCAATGAGGATTTACAATCAACATCCCATGAGCATGCCTTCCATCCACATTGATACCACCCCTTAGTGTCAACAATTTCAAGCAACATTGATACTATTAGTTCAAAGGCATCAAAGTAACTTGATTCAAAGAAGGGCCATCATAAAAGCAGCTGATCACCAAAGAGCTGGCAAAATGTAGCATGCAGGGTCCGAACCGAGAGCGTTCAGATCTTACGCCCAAGCTATTGCCCACTTAGCCAAACCTTTTGAAATGAAGCAATTTGTGTATCAAGAAGGCTTTACTTAACAACAGATCCATCTTCAAAATGACAGACACCAGCTTCGACGCCAGGCAGACACCAGGCAGACACCAGGCAGACGCGAGCTTGGGCGTACTGGCAAAAAGCAGCGCGTAGGGTCCGAACCGAGAGCGTTCAGATCTTATGCCCAAGCTATTGCCCACTGAGCCAAACCTTTTGAAATGAAGCAATTTCTGTATTAACAAGGCTTTACTTAACAACAGATCCATCTTCAAAATGACAGACACCAGCTTCGACGCCAGGCAGACACCAGGCAGACACCAGGCAGACGCGAGCTTGGGCGTACTGGCAAAAAGCAGCACGTAGGGTCCGAACCGAGAGCGTTCAGATCTTACGCCCAAGCTATTACCCACTGAGCCAAACCTTTTGAAATGAAGCAATTTCTGTATTAACAAGGCTTTACTTAACAACAGATCCATCTTCAAAATGACAGACACCAGCTTCGACGCCAGGCAGACACCAGGCAGACACCAGGCAGACGCGAGCTTGGGCGTACTGGCAAAAAGCAGCGCGTAGGGTCCGAACCGAGAGCGTTCAGATCTTACGCCCAAGCTATTACCCACTGAGCCAAACCTTTTGAAATGAAGCAATTTCTGTATTAACAAGGCTTTACTTAACAACAGATCCATCTTCAAAATGACAGACACCAGCTTCGACGCCAGGCAGACACCAGGCAGACACCAGGCAGACGCGAGCTTGGGCGTACTGGCAAAAAGCAGCGCATAGGGTCCGAACCGAGAGTGTCTGGATCTTATCCCCAACTGTGTAACCACTAAACTACACCAGCACTTCCTACCTGGTTTTTTAAGTATCAAAGAAGATAAATTTCGACACCATCAGTCGACACCATCTATGGGGATTGATCCTAACTCTCCTAACTCTGGAGTATAGAACCCTTGAGTGCGATCAATTAAGTCCTCAGTGGGAGTGATAAGATGATCATGTTTTGAACTCTTCTTTCCACTTGACTTTCTTGGAATAATAAACTTGACTCCAAGTGTTTCCGACCACATCTTGCTCACTTGAAGGTACACATTATCTTGGGAATTTGACTTGATATTGGGAGGCGTAGGAGGCTTCTTATGTTTTGGGAACAAGACTCCTTGCTTCGACAAAGCTGTTTTTGTGGTTTCTATCAATGCAGTGGTTTGGAGGGACGTTGACTGCATTCTGTGTTTCCGCGCGTTTTTTTCATCATAATGCTCACAGGAAACAGCCCAACTGCACCAGCTGCCCCCACCCCAGCTGCACCCCCCTTGAAGAATGCAGCGACTGCAAGCACGCAGCAAAACGAACTTCGGCGTGTCTTGACGGGTGATTTGACAGCTGATATTGTAGGTTTCAGCCTGCGTACTCTTTGTCACACTCACTTGTTGGTTAGATGAAATACGTCTTTCAACACATGACGAACGATCAACGAGTGGCATATAACAGCGGAGTCGGAGCTGTAGCTGACGCGGCAATTGCAGCCAGACTGGATCAATCTAAGTGCACCAAATCTGGAACCAACAACGCGCGGAAGATTTTGACGAAGATGGGAATCCTTCCTGAGCCCAAGTCAAATACTACAACGTCCTCGTCAACATCCTCGTCAGCTTCCTCGTCAGCTTCCTTGTCCAACACTCTCCCACCCAACAACACATTGCCATCCTCTTCCTCGAAGCTTCTTCTTGCAGCAGCCCCTTCCTCATCATCTCATCACAAAAGCACTGACAAGTACTACGAGGCATTTGGGGGCGATTCCAGTTTTTCAGATGGCAGCGACGTTGACGTATCATTGTAGGGCAAAACCCAAGTCTTGAGCAGAGTGTTTCTATTTTTATATATTGCTTGTATTGGTTGTCATGTTGAATAAAGAATATTGTTCTGTTTATTTATTGCCTTTTATCTGAATTCTGTTGGAACCTCTGTTTATCCCTGTTTATTTACATCCTTATCTGCACATAGCACCCTCATTACTATAACCATATGTTCCCTCTTTGAATCCGCTCTCTCAAAAGTATCGCTCTATCCTTCAATGACGTCTGTGCCTCCAAATCCAATTCCTTCCTTAGTCCAACAAGTTCTTCAACAGTCAAGTGACTTCAACAAGTCCTTGGAGTCTTGTGCACTAGCTGGCCGCGGGTTGGCTACTTCTGTCCTTTCGTTGAAGCAAGCTGAAATCCAACCAAGTTTGCTTTTGGAGCAATCAAACGCGGAGCTGCAATCAAAGATCACTCAGCTTGAATTGAAGCTCGCAGACCAGGAAATGGACTTCGGGAGAATTGAAACTCGATTGAAAGGAGCTTTGGAAGGAACACGAGTCGAAAATATGCGCTTGAAGGCCACACTTCAACTCAATCAGTACTTGATTTCAGAGCAGTGCAAGGCATTAACGTACCAAACTACTATGTACATCCTCCCGTGAAGGTCCCACAACCAATCTTTGATTGGGCAAATCAACCAAATCACAGCGAGAACTGTTTAAGTCTTCTGGATTGTTGGGCTGAATTGAAAGGAACTGGAGGCTGGTTTAGTTCAATGGAGCTGGAAGAGGGATATGCACCGGACGACGATTTGAAGCAGTGGGAAACATCAGGCGATGTCAGAGTATGCGAAAGACTGATCCTTTATTGCATGGAAAAAGATTTTTGAGAAAATAAAGCTTGCACTTGCTTGATTGTAGCCCTTTTGAAGCAAAGTTTGTGTTGAGTTGGATGTAATCAGAATAGGATCCAAACCCACCCCAACAGAAACTAAGCTACAACAGGGTAGATTGATCCGAGATGGGTTCGAGGCTGTAGAGAGGGGGCGCAGGTTGATGGTAGTGTTTGAAAAGAAACTAAGAGAGCTTGTCAACATACACACACACCAACACTAAACTACTCACATCAAACACTTTGAATCACTTGGATATATTTCGAGATTCAAATCGCAACGAGATGGAGGGCTTGAAGAAGGCTGTTGAGTGTTAATGGTTTTGGTGAGTGCAATCAAACAAACACACTCACTTGATGTTCACCACTACAGCTCCCATTCCAGTTCCAAATCACTTGGATATATTTCGAGATTCAAATCGCAACGAGATGGAGGGCTTGAAGAAGGCTGTTGAGTGTTAATGGTTTTGATCCAACCAATCAAATAAACTCACTTCACAGCCACAGCTCCCGTCCCAGTTCCAAATCACTCGCATATATTTCGAGATTCGAATCGCAACTAAATGGAGGGATGGGAGAAGGTGGGTATCGTCATTGCTTGTTTCTTGGTCTTTTTTTTGTTTCTTGAACAATTTGCCTTCACTTTTTGGCGTTCGACATTGATACAGAGAGAAACAATGGCTGGCCACCATTGATTATTGATGTAGCTGTGACGAAATGCTCAAAGGTACAAGGGCGCTGAGTTTGCTGCTGTTTCTTTTGCAGGGCGCAACAGGATCAGACGCTGCATCTTCTTCGAAACACAGGTGACTTCACTAGTGGCATAGGAGACAGATCAGCTTAGGCGGATACTTTTTGGTTATTCCTCTGTTTCTTTGATAATTCTCGGCTCCCTCCAGAGTTGATTTTGTTGGTTTGTATCAAATCATTCATGACGTCTATTGAAATCGCATGTAACAAAAAACAGGCCCGACTATGTGTATTCGGAAAAGTTTTACACAGGTAAGGATAGAATAATTTCCTTTGTTAACCTTCTGTTTTAAGTAACCGCACACCAAATACTTGAATACGATTTAAATTTTAATTTTATTAATGTTATTTCCACACCGCATTTTATCGGTTCGTTGCTCAGTGGTTTGAATGCTGCCCTGTCGCTGCGGAAGTTGCAGGTTCGAGTCCTGATCATGGCATTTTGTTTTTGCCTTTTCATTATTGCTGAAAATCAAAGATATTTCGGATTTCATTTTATTTTCAGAATATATCTGGGGCCTTAAACTCAAAGCACTTATCTCTGCATTTTGTTTGACAACTCTTATAATGGATGAAAGATATTGGCATTTAGCTCAGTTTTAGCAGTCTTCTATTACCACTAAAATCAAACCCCAATAGTCTTGCCCTCAGTTGTACATATGACGCTTTTTTGCAAGAGTTTGTTTCAGAATATGTGGTAAATAATTGCATATGTTTCCAAACTGAATGCTTGTTAAAATTATGTGTTTAATGAACTCTGAAACAAAACCTGCTCCATGAGCATTTATTGTTGTACAAATGTCTGTCTCTACACTTTCATCTCTACTCATCATCGTCATCGTTGTCATAATCTGTGGCCCAAGCTTCATCCTCACTTGGTGTATTATTGTATCCAAGAACTTCAGCGTGATCATCGAGAAACTCGTAAATCATGGAGTAAAAGTTTGCCAATGCAGGATCATTAAATTCTCGGGGATAACGTGGGTGAAGGCGGGTGTCATTGGTTGATTCACCTGCAGTGCCTGCTTGGTCTGTAACTTTAGCGGAACTTGATTTTGCTTCCTCTGCATCAACAATAGAGTCGCGGTCATCACTGATACCACCATCAAGTTGGGCATCATCACCAAAAGGACTTTCATCCTTGGAGTCAGCATCACTTTCTGTCTCTTGGATTTCATGGTCGTCTTCAGAAACACTGTCGCAACCCTCCTCTGAAATCTCGTCATCTGCATCTTCTTCCACAATAGTGCCCCCTACACTGTCACTACCATCTTCACTTCCCTCAACGTCACTGTCATCACTGTCATTACTGCCATCCAAGTCAACTTCAATCACTCTTGAATCTGAGCGAGACCCTGAACCTGAACCTACTTGTGGTCCAGCTGCATGCAAAAAGGAATCAGCCTCACCCATCAAACTGCACCACTTCCACCACTTGTCAGAGATACTCTTCATTTTGCGGATAACAGCAGCTCCATCTGTTGTGGCTCCATAATTGTTCTGATGCACTTGGGAGCTGTGTCCAAATTGACTACTTACTGTAGTGTTCACTTCTGCCACTACTGTCTCTTCAAAGTCAATATGATCTGCAAATGACGCCATCATTTGTCGAGTGTGACGGATTCCCAGATTTACCCCAAAAACGCTCCAGAAATTCTGAATGTACAAGCCATGCAATTTGGATACTTTGCAAGGGATTCCGTTTCTCAAAAACAGATAAGTCTTGGCTTGGATTTCATCTTCATGGGTCAAGAACGTAAGCTTTTTGCGGTTTCTCATGTCAGCCCAGAATGCACTTTGTCGTTTTATTAGTAGTCAACCATAACTACAAGTGCTTACATGTAGAGTGGGTAAACAAAGACCAGATACTTTACAAGAATCTGTGCAAGCTCATCTGGAACAAACCGAAACAAGTCTTTATGAAATCCAGAGTTGGCACTCGACTTGTTGTATCTTATTCAAATCATGTTTATAAGTGAGTCACTCAAAACAAGGACACAACTTACCTCAAGTTGATGCACAATCTATGTTCAAGAATCATCAAATTTCTTTTGCCTAAACCGGAATTCACAATGGTGGTCATTTGGAACTCTGTTGTTCGGGGAGGCATTCCACAAAACAAGGCAAGACCGAGCATCAACAGAGAAATAAAGTTGTCCACTTTAGCTAAAAGATAAGAGCTCAGAGGTATGCAACCAATAAAAACTAAATACCAGTGTACAACTCCATTGCCTCAGTCTTGTAGATAAGTCTTGTGGGCTCAAAAAAGTCAGTCCTCAAGTTCTTGGTCTTTTTAATATGCATTTCAAGTCTGTTCCCATTTTCTTCACTAAATGTAGAGCTGTTGGCTTGCTCTGTCATGAAGCTGTAACCTGGTCTTGAGTTTGCGACATTGTCAGTCAATCGTTTTGGGTCAAACGTGAAGTCAGAAACATCCATCCCAAACAGTAAATTACTGAGTTCTGTTGTGATCACTCTAAAGTAGTTTGCTCGACCTTCCCGGAACATAGTCTTTGAAACGCCCAAGCGACCATCGATAACCAACTTGGGTTCATTAGGCAAACTGTAATCCCAATGTTTGCTAATGAGATTGGCTGTATTGCTGCCCATCATGATTAATCCACATGTGGACTTGAACTGCTTCATTTTGGCATAAGGGAGACTATGCTTTCCATAACTGACAAGCTCGATGACTTGATTGATTTCCCTTGTTTTTAACAGATATCAATAAAAGACTTCAAACAAGTATGTCTCACTTGTCCTTATCAGCTCTTGCCATCCATGAACCAAACGAAGCAATTTCTTGGCACCAATCCAAAACTAGGCAACGAGAAGCAAACAGGAAATGGGTACAAGGTCCAGTCATGAGTTGCTCTTTGCAAAATGTGCCATCAGGCTGTAAAAATCTGAGCAACAGGTATTCTTCAACCAAATGGATCCGACCGGTATTGAGGCCTTCAAAGCCAATGTCTTCAAACAAAACAATGCGCAACAACTTGATCAGTGCTTCTTGCTGATTCTCAATGACTGCATTAGTTCTACAAAGCAGGGGAACATCAAGTGTCTCCAACAATGCCTCAACAGCTTCGTTCACATCATCACGCAGCTTGGACATTTTGGTGCTTGTGTTGGCACCTTGCTTACGAGCAATCAACATTGTGACAAATAACCCAAGAGTTCTTGCATACGTTGGAATGGTCCCCTTTACGTCAATAGGCTTGAAAGCCTTTCCTGCATACCCAGTGTCATTGGTGGATTTGCGACCAGCATTCTTGATGGCCGTACGCGTCGGTTGGGTCCCAGGTAAAGTTGCCAACTCATTGACTTTTTCCAAGAACAAACGACACAACATAATCACTGTCTTGGTGTCCTTTGTCTCTGTCAAGATAGCAATGTACTTTGCTGGATTCTTGATGGCATCAATACCAAAAACTAACTTGTCCCATCCCATCTAATCTAAAAAAGTTAACTGGTATTTTTTGACCCCCAAAACACTTACGTTATTCAGGAACGGTGTATTGGTTTTGCTTGATGAAGCAATCAGACCAGCAGTTTCCAATCCAGTAGACAAGTAAGCTCTCGAACGTGATCCAGCAGTGTTCTTGATCTGTTTCTGTTTACGTGCAAAGCTTTTGAGTTCCTTGGCTCTCTGGCGAGCATCAAATCCTTCCTCTGGCTTGTACATTCCAAAGACTCGAGCATACAGTTTAACAACTTGAGTTGGCCTGTACCCCCAATACTGATTCTTTTGGTGTTCAGCCCTGCAGTGTACTCTGATGGCACTTTGAGACACACAAACATAGTTGCAGTCGAGGCACATGAATCCAAATCTGGCAGGATGGGTCAGACCACATTTCATTTTCTTGACGTGGCTTTGGAGCTTCTCAGGAAAGTCTACTGCAAGGTTGCACTTGTTGCAGTGAAACAGGTTGTCCTCAGAATCCCTCGGAATGAAAGTGAGCTCATCCTCTTCTAACAAACCAATCCAAGTTTAGTATTTAATAAGAAAAGAGATCAAATCACTCACTTGTGTAGTCATTTATCCAATAACGAACAGAAACAACCTTCTGGTGGACTAATCTATAATGTTTTCCCAAAGCAAATTTGTTGTTGAAGGGTGCAATGTCTTTGCACTCTGGGTTGGGGCATTCAACTTTGGATCTGTTGTTTCATAGAGTCAGAAAATGATTTTAAAGTTCTTGTCTGAATTTCAAACAAGAATCAACACTTCAGCAATAATTGCCTCAATATAGAGAATAGACAGACAGTTTTAAGAAGGATGTGTGAAGAGAGTACTTAAAGAGCTATCATTTGATGATCCAACCACCCAACACACCCAGCCACAGCTCACACAACACCAACTCCAACATTTCCAAACTTGATCAACAACTCACTCTTGCCACAAACCCATCAACCCTAGACTCAACACATTCCCACAGACCCACAGGATCAAACCTTGACCCACCCCCACTCTGTCTCCAAAATTTCACCTCACCGCTCCCGTTCTCGCTCAAATCATACCTTTCTTGTTGATCCATCTTTTTGTTCTCGTCTTTTAATTTGAACTCTTGTTGAGCTTGAGCGTCTGCATCTGCGTCTGCATCTGCGTCTGCGTCTGCAAGACATAACCCAAATTAAAACCTGGCCCCAACAAACACTTAACAGTATTCTTTGAGGTTGAAATAAGAGTTATATTGGTTGTTTTGACTATTTATGAAGGTATGGTCCAGTTGACCATCTTAACCCATCCCAACACTAAGGGTATAAACCCTTGCTCTGATTCTAAACCTTAACCCTAATCCTGATTCTAATCCTAACCCTAACCCTTGAAGGATAATGCCATTAAGGCAGCGCCAATTAGGTGATGCCTGAAGTGCGGCGCCTTCATGGCAGCGCCCAGGATACTGGGTGACTCATCCTAACCATCCTAATCCAACAGTATAGAACCCTAAGTTTATTTTATGATTAATATAGAAGAAAGACATTTAACTTACTTCATCCATTGTATTAAAAATACGAATCACCCGCCACACTTTGTCACGCCAGTTTGATGGAGATGTCTTGAACCGACTTGCTGACGACCGATCCGTGTTGTACTCCTTCAGCCAGTTCAAACACCAGAGGAAATGAATCTTGGAAAGACGTGCACGAAGTAAATCTTTGACAATAATCATCCAAACGTCGACGCAAGACTCAATAGAGAGACCAAAAACAGACTTGAAGGCTTCACACCAAACTCGGCGATTACGTCGAAAGGAAAGGCTGGACAGATTGATCAGAGGAGCAGCGCGATTCACCATGAGGTCCAATTGGCTCAACCATTCTTGGGATGGCATTTTTGTGTGAGAGAATGATTGAAAGAGGATTGGGATTCTGTTGCTATTTATGTCTTTTGCGTTCATTTCATCTCCTAAGTGCGCGAATCAAAATGCCATTAAAA